CAAGATCTGAGAAGCAACAAATTCACAAGCCAATCAATCAGAATACCTACTCTAACATATATTGACAATATTTTGTATATAGGAAAAAATAGAAAAAAAATAAAGATAATAATAAATATTGTAAAAGATTTCTTTAAAATCAATGATATAGAAATTAATACAAAAAAATTAGAGCTACTAGTACTATTTTCCAAAAACAATAAAGATACAGACAAAAATCTAAAATTTGGCCTCAATACTAAAAAAAAAAACAAAAGAGCTAACAAGATATCTAGACATATAAATTGCAAAGTATTATTAATAACAAGAAACCTTAAAAGAAAGAAAGTTTTACTTGCATATATACAATATATCAATAACAGAGTACTAATATCAAGGATAGAATACAAAGCATAATACTATATTCTATCAAAAGAAGTATATAATAAACTACAGAGCCTATTATTTATACTGATTAAAAACAAAACCAGAATGATATATATACTGCTAAACACAATAATGATATATATATTTTTTTTTCACTTAGGCAGATCACGCCAGTATCCTTTATTCAATAAAGACCAAATCTGTGAAAATATCGTAATATTGAAACTATGAATCTGACATCCTGCGGTTATCTCGTATAATCTAATCGATTACCTACACGCACCTACAGGTGATCACTCCGCACTAGCAAGATACGATCAATTAAGATAATATTCACCAGGGGCTCATCTGACCACCACCCTACAATAGAATATTGCCAATCTGATGATATTTTCTCGTAGAAAAGTGAAAAAAAAAGAAAAATTTTTAAGAAAATAAAATACAGAGGTATAAGGAGTATGTAAAAAAACAAATAAAAAAAAGAAAGGAGATAAAAGATGAACGAAAAAAAAACTAAACTAAATATGAGATTTTTCACTACACCGGATAGTCACAATTATAAGCTTGTGTTAGGCTGTAAAAATTACATATTACTATCTAAACTATTCTCTATACTAATTTATATAATTAATATGTTTAAGCAAAAAACCCTTATAGAAAAAAAAATCAGCTTCTTCGATATCGGCACCATAGAGAGATCAGAAATTTGCACTGTTAGGCTCAAAGCATTGTTTGTCTAGGAGGCTACATTCGAGGCACGTAATCCAGTTATCCACATCCCTGCATCCACGTATTTGTTATGACAGGTAATAAATATAAACAATATCACCTGATTTGATAAGTAAACAATTCATCGATCTTTTGGAGGAGGTAAGCTAAATCGGCTACTTTTTACAAAATTTTTCCTCAAAAAAATAGTGGGAAGACAATGAAACTATGTAAGATTCTTCTGTAGATTTTATAGTTGTATACTTGATTCTTCAGAAAAATACTATTTCAGCAAGGGGAGATCCACTTTTGCTTCTAGAATAACTCTTCTAGTTTGGATGCCAAATATCCTAGGAGTTCATTATAAAAGCAGAAAAGAAACTTAACCTCAGGAAAAACTACTCTAGTTACGCCTGCTTCTTGGTATTTCATGTCTTTCAAGCTTCGTCAACAACAACCTGTTCAGAAGTAAGTTTAGTTCTTAGAATACTCTTCTGGTTTGGTACCAAATATCTTGAGAAGTTCACCAACAATTCAAAAGCTTGACCTCAAGAAAAACCACCCAAGTTATACCTGCTCCTCGGTGTTTCACGTCTACAGGCTTTGTTGACAACTGCTTATACAAAAACAGAACTAAAATAGTATTTATTTTGGAACTTCCTATAGTGTTTTTCTGTAATTCGGTTTCTTGTTATATTGTCTAGAGAATCGTTGAAAAGAGTTCTGATCTAATTGATATATTAAAATATAGTTAGTATAAAAACTATATAGCAAATCAAATAGTATACCATATTACAGAACTAGTGGCAAGATTTAATAACAAACAAGCCTCAGATAAAACTACATGGATAAAAATAAAACAGACACAGTTGAGATTTAAAAGTACCAAGTGTATTCTAAATCTTGATCTGCAAAACTTGAAACAAGTTAATTTGAAAAACAATCTAAGCTACAAAGTTGTTAAAGAAGCAAGAAAGCTTAAGATTAATATAAAATCAGCAAAAATAAAAAAAAGTTTAAAGTTTACAAATCAAGGTACAGAAATAATGAATTTACTTGATATGAAATATAAATTTAGCTTTGAACAAGAAAAGACAATGAATATCTTCATATTAGAACAATTATTGAATAGCAAAAACATAATGCTTCTGATATAAAACTAGCTAAAAAAGATAAGAAATAGTACTACAAAAGAAAGAAAAGCAAAATAGTTTTAAGAAATAGAAAAGTTATTGTTTATAGACAAGAATAGCAGAAAAGTCAACGCAGAGTTTAGAAGAAGGTCAAAAAATTACAACTACTTGAAAATAAATCTTAGAACAATAAACACTGATAAAAAAAGACAAGAATAGATTTTGTTCGAAGCAAAAGATAAAGAAGTAGAAATAGGAAAGATAATTCATAAAGTAGATGAAAAAAACTATAAAATAAAGTACTAGTATAAGAAAAGTATAACAGATATGAGAAAAACTATAATATAGCTATATAAAAAATACAATACTATTAACAATATATCAGAAGATAAAATATACTATATCAAAAAAAAACTTTGAAGAAATAAAAAAGATGATAAACAAAAGTCTATTAGAAAAAATCATGATCAACAAGCAAACAGCTTACAAAATAACTATGCTATAGGAAAACATATCTGCAGAAATATTTGATAGATATAAAAAGAAAGCAAAATAGATGAAGAATAACAAATAGTAGAAATAAAAATAAAGCTAGCATATTAAAAACTGATACAAGAATATATAAAAGAAAAAAAATAATTAAAAAACTTGAAAAAATAGTGAGCAAGGTTTAAAAATACAAGATCTTTGAAGTATATACTGATGGTTCTCTAACAGAGCTACAACAAAAATCTGAAGAAACTATAATAGATATAGGATAGATACTATAAACAAAATCAAAAAAGAATAAAATAATAATGATCTACTTTAAATATGCAATGATAAGCTAGCTATCATCTACAAGAGCAGAACTAGAAACTATATTAAAAGTTTTGCTAACAGTATCAGAAAAAGCAAAACTACAAATGTTTACAGATAGCCAAGTAGTGATTCAAGCAATCAAGAGTATAGAAAATACAAGAAAAATAAGAAGCTACTGTATATCAAAATAAAAAACAGAAGCCTGTTTTAGCAAATAAACAAAATAAAAAATATAAAAAAGATTAGACTGAAGCTATATAAAGTGAAAAGACATAGCAGAGTAGAAGAAAATAAAAAAGCAGACAAACTAGCAAAAGACAGGTCAAGAACAAGCAAGACTATAGAGGTATAGGCACCATGGACCAAGCTTTTTAGAGTTATATTAAGATGAGAGAATATGATTATAAACAGCCTAATCTGAAAATTATGAATCAAGTTATAATCTCAATATTAGATGCAGAATAGACAGGATTAGATAGAATAAAAAAATAGATAGGAATAGTAATATAAATTGAAGAAAAACATGAAAGTATATAGAAGATATAAAAGGTAACAATTATATAAATAGTAAAACAAATGATAGATGAATATTTAAGGTCAAATATCTTAATAAATCACTACCAACAATAGATAAATTGAAAGTAAGAAAATCAGATCTATACAATACTAATGAATATGCTACATGTCAAGCTGAACTAGAAACAATAAATCATCTAACAAGCTATAAGGAATACCAAAACATCTGAAGCATAATAGAAAACCACAAAGAAGTGTTAAAAATCTTAAAAAAAGAAAACCATATAGCATGTGTTCCAAGCAGAGAAGAAGCAAAAAAAACATCTTCAGTACAGAAGTCTAAGAAAAAACTAAAACAAGAATCTATATGATGAGAGACCTAATACAGGATAAACAGAAAACAAGAATCAAAAACATACTTTAGAAAGAGAAGGCAGTGAAGCACTGCCCTAGAAAAGTTTCTAACAACACATTTGAAACTTTAGATGTGAAATGCAAAATGACCAAGAAACAAAAAAAGAAATCGGAGCGTAGCAGAAAACTCAAAGTGATACCAAATTTTTCATTTTTGATTTATTGTTAAAACATCAAAAAAATATCTATTGCATATTGTGTCACAATATGCACAGAAAAATTCAAAGTTACAGTTTTGATATTTTTATTAATAATACATCAAAACCAAGAAGTTTGGTATTATTTTATCCCCCAGATAAAAAAAGAGCATTGTTACGTTAAAGAGCACATTATAACGAACTCAAAAAATACAGTTTTATTTGTGTGGGTTTAGCTTGAGCTTTTTATGTTTTTACTATTAAATTAACGCTAAAATCATGATTAGTGATCTTAATTATATTTTTTTGCCAACAAATTCATATTTAGATTTATACAAATTAATAACTCCGGTTCTAGTTTACAAAATTATAAAATTTAGATACATTATTTCCCTTTTATTTTATTTAAAAAACTTTTTAGTTTCGAAATAGGCAATTTTCTAACGATTATATATGTTATAATTGGTTATCATAACCACGTAGTTACGACACTTTTAACATGACAATTGACATATTTACGACTTTATGCACAAATAATCTCTCGAGTTATAGATTTTTTTTTCAAACATCATTTTTTAAAGTTTTTAAAGATTTATTAAAAGATTAATTGTTTTATTTAATAACTTATGAATCGAACTTTCTTAGTGTTTGTGATTTACACCCGTAGGTTTTTATACGTAACCTAACGGAGGTCTTCGAAGAAAATCGTATGAAACCTAAGCTACTACAAGATTCTATGATACTATATAAAAACTTAGGATTATGAAAAAAATATATTTGACGTCAAATTCTTTACATAAATTAATTTTTTATATTTATAGTCCTTAGCAATATCGATCGATCGATATCTTTTTTTTATTCATAATTCTTTACGACGGAGGGTTTATTGTTTTCCACGTACGTACGCAAAAAGCGGAGATAGTATTTAAGCGTCAAAGTCAAAAATACTGTTTACGAAGTCATAAGGATCAGATTCCTTATCGTTGGGAGGGCTCTCATGATTAGATACATTTTCAATAACAAAAAAGTGGGTTACCCCGGTTTCGTAGTCCATTGGAACTACGCGATTGGTTACGTTTCTGTTTGTATTATCAATAGAGAGCCTGAGAGCCATGCTCTCGTACTTCCCACGGATAGCGGGAGGTTCTCGTTTCCACATTTGGGACACTATTCCAGACAATGCCCTCTGAGGCAACCTTGGAAAGTTTTGGCGTAGCCAAAACTGTTTTTCTCTTCTATATATTATAAAAGAGTTCGGGGTTTTACGATTGATTCTTGCCATTAACGAATAGTTTTTAAACGAATCGAATAGTTTTAAGTCAGAGAAATTCTCGACCTTTTTAAATATTTTTGAAATATATAAATTTATTATTTAAATTAAGACTATAATATCGCTCTGGAGAAGTCCGTATAAATCTTCTCTCATGGATCTTAAAGAAAATGAAATCACTTGACGTTGTTTGTGACATTGAATGAAATTATATCATACGTTCGGAAAAATAAGAATAGTATACGTTACGTATGAGGCCGAATTTTAACATTTTGACTTTTGACAGATGTCAAATGCGTTGGAAGTGTTACCTATTTGTTCATACTTCAATCATAATTGATTAAAAAGGTGGGCTTTGTTATTTTACATTTTGCTTTGTTATAATTGATATCATTAATAAAATAATCGTTAACCACGCGACATTAATCAATGCAAGCATTTATTTTCGCATTTATTTTCCGGAGAAAATGAATTTGTGAAATAAAATTAATAGTAGCATTCTTGATCGGATCATTTTCGCAGCTTTCATTGAAAACTTCATTGAATGATACGAGACTAAGCGCGAGAGTCACTGTAGATTTTTTTGTAACATAGTAGATCTTTGCACATCTCAAAAGGAAAAGGAAATTTTAGTGTACACATGCGAAACGAAGAAAAGGTGAAAAAACGAACATTTAAAATGATCTTGGGGCACTAATTAAAAGATGATGTAATACTTAGTTGTGTCATGTACCACTTAACTGAAATTAAATAGGCCTCTATATTCAGAAATATAAAGCTTTCAATAATGCTTCATTCTTATGCTTCATTCTTTAATGTATTAAATAGTGATGTTACCCAAAACTATTTGGGATGCACATGTGCCAAGGTCACGTGACTTGGAGCGTACGTACGTAAACCTAGCTCATATAACGATAAACTGTGACCACCCCATCGTTGATTAGTAATGGGAAATAATAATTATATAGATACTTTAATTTCTTTAATTATTTCTTTAAATATTTCTTTAATTTATAAATGACAACATTTATTCAATGAAATTAAATAACTAAGAAATTTTGCCATTTCTCTATTGCTCTATTTGGATTCCTTAATATTAATACGTGCGTACAAATATATATATTTAACATTTTAATTTAATATGATCATTGTAATTATATATTTAGAACAAAAACAATTTATATATTAGGAAAAACGCACCATTGCTCCATTTTGCTTCGTTCTGCACAAAAAAAATGTTTATTTAACCAAAAACGCACCATTTACCAACCCTAAAAATTATATTCTATAAAAATTTGCGGACTTTACCATGATATACAATTCACGAATTGGGTGGCGCAGCAGTCATTATCCGGGTATGTCGCACTTCTTATTTATTCTTTAATTGAAAGTGACGGGCGTATTTTATGAAGTGTTTTATCAAAGAGTTTTATTTTTTTACTCAAACGTGTTGAACAATTCGGTTTGATATCATAAATAAAAAAAGATACATAAAAAATAGTACAGTCAGACCTCTTTAAGTGCACCCTCTATAAGTGTACACCCTCTTTAAATGCATGCCTAGATTCTGGCCTTAATATATACTTGATATCTATGAATGCACTTTTCCTTATTGTTCGTGCACTTAGAGAGATCCGACTGTATGAAATATAAATAAGAAAAATAATAAAATGAATATTTTCTTATTGTTTCAATTCTACTTCACTAGCTAATATAAATTTAATTCTACTTGGCTATATAATTATAATTAAAAAAAAAAAAATTCTTTTTTGTATAAAAAATTTTTAAAAATTTTATTTTTGATAAAAAAATTTTTAAAATTTTATTTTTTGATCTCAAAAAAAAAAAAAAAGAAACCTATATCTCCATAATCTTAGAACAGTTTGATAAAATTTTTGACTTGTCTTAGATGCAAAAAATTTTATAAATATTTAAGGCCGTGCAAAGTTAAATAATTGTTTCTCATAAAATTCTAAAAGTGTTACCCGTCCGTCTTTTAATTTTTAATAATCAAAAACTTAACCCGGAAGTATTAATGATAATAAATCATAAAATTTTGTGTTAAAAATGACCTGGCCGGGTTATGAGAATCAATTAACTTTTATATAGCCTAACATTCTTACAATAAAACTTCCAATACCTCTAATACCTCTAATACCAACATTTGAAGTTATTTATTTCAAAAATTTTTATAAGTTATTAATAAAATGCAAAACGCACCTATGGTGTGTTTTGCAATATTATCTCAAAAACTAGCTAATTAATTGTTCTAAGTAAAAATGTTCTGCGCTCCCAAAAACCCTTCCCAAACCCTAATTCTAACCCTAAATATTAACCCTAACGTGAAAACATTTGCATTAAAATTTTTATATAAAAAACCTATAAAAATTTATATAAAAAAAAAATCAATAATAAAAAAGTGCGTTTTTATAATTTGTATAATATTATCAAAATTAAAATTAAACAATTTATTAATAAATTATTTAAAATGCAGACAAATTTGCCTGCAAGCAGATTAAGCAGATTAAAAGAAATAATTATTTTTCACTTATCGTTATTGTATACACATTTGATGTAATCATTAGTTCTATTGTAATATCATTTATTCAATATATCTGCTTAGCTAAATCCCTCTTAAACTCTTAATTTAAAAATAAAGATAAACAAAGTTTTAATAATTTATAGCATTGATTTAACAAACTTTATTGATCTTTGAATTTACACTATTGACTAAGAATGGACATATATTTAATTTTTGTTTATTATCCAATTTGAAATAGAAGTCCCGATTTTCAAACCCCAACTATGTAGTAACGTCATAATTCAAAAAAAAAAATTGTGCTTGGGTCGCAATCCTAGAAATCATCGTCCCATGTAGGTCCTTCATCAAAATCCATTTCATCGTCCCAATTATCCCAATCTCTTGTAAAAATGTGGTGAATACTGTGATTGATAGAAAATCCACCAAGGATTTCTGAGATCGTCCTGAAATCCAATCCACTAGCTTCTCCAGTTACCTCCCAGTACCGGAAATTTCCTAAACATGTTCTTGGCTTTTTTCTCTTCGGTGGGCCTAAATCACATTTAGTTCCATCTGGATTTGCATGCTTATAAAAACATTTATTAGCAAACGGACACTTTCTGGTTTCCTGAAAATATTTACAAGGAATCTGAGAAAGTCGATCTTTATACGATTTAACGATCTCATCCTTTTTTGGTCCTTCTTTCGCAAAGCTAGAGGATGGTACAATATAAGGTGAGTTTTTTCGACAAACTGGACAAGTTTTAGTTGTGTCGGTTGTCTGAAAAGGTGTAGTAAGGCTATCCGTTTTGCGCCACTCTTTTATACAATCTAAAAAAAAATTTTAATTATGATAAATATCTGTAAATTTTTCCAATATTTCTCATAATTAAGACTCTTACCGCGACAGAAAACATGGTCACAAGATACTATTTAAAATATAATAATAAAATGATTAACTTTTTAAGATAAAATATTGGATGTTGTGGAAACAATTAAAGACAAAACACAATTAAACTTTTATATTTCCATTACAAGTTTAGACGGTTGAAACATATTCAAAGAGTAATTTACTGACTTATTTAAAGCAGGTAATGGATTATTAAGCAAAAAATAAAACATACCAAGCAAACCAAAAGTTTTTGGCACATCATAACAGATTGCACAGATATTTTCTTCCTCTTCCTCGTTTTCTTTTTGTTTTTCTTTCTTTCTGGTTTCCATTTCGTTATTAACGGACAGGTCAGGCAATTCGTGTCTATTCCAGCAGGCATCACCGTATATACA